AAGTTTTCCAACTAAGTTTCCTTTATCACCTCATGCAGATAGAATATCTGCCAAAGACGCGCAAATATGTGGATTCATAACACATAATTTTTTCCTTCCGGAAATGAAGCTAAGACTTTATCAAATATTTGTTTTTCCAGTCCTCGAATACTGCTGTCCTTTCTTTGGTTTAATGAACGCCTGCGACCGTTATAAGATCGAAAATGTTCAGAGGGTTTTCACTGGAAACTGTTCTCTCACGTCGCATCCGGTACTCCTTATACTCAGAGATGCCAACTGGCAAACATTAAGTTTTTGTGGGTTAGAAGACTGGAAGCTGGCCTTTGCTTCCTTTTTCGCATTAACTCTAGCTCCAATCTTCGGCTCATTGACACTCCCACTCCGAGAGATCGGCCTTATGTCATGCACAACTCCTCCATGGTGATTCCGCCGCCTCTTTGCACTACATCTAAGCGCTCCCTCTTTCTTGCTTCCAAATATGCCTTCCTTTGGAATAATCTTCCGCCAGAAATTAGGTCATCGCGTATGTTATCGGTGTTCAAATCTACATTACGCAATCGCCTTTCACAGGAATGTATAAAGTCACAGTTGATCGTTCCATTCCCGAACACTCGAATTCTTGAGCTTGAAAAGGGTCCTCCCGTGATTTACTGGTAGATCACTTGGAAACCGTCTTTTATTTATTTACAACCCACTGTATTGAATTGGTTAGTAAGTCCACTGCTATATCTCCTCCCCCATAACGACGATTTTCGCGGTTCTTGATGTCATCTCCCGTATTTCGACCTCAAGCGGTCTGTCAACGCTCACGGCGGAACCCTCAGTATTCGCCGTCTGCTAGTAGTTTGGTCGTACCTCCCTTCCCCACTCCTCGGTTTGGCTCGAAACGTACTGTCGCCGATCGCGTCTGGGTTCCTCTGGTCTGACCTCTTTAACGCGAATAGCCTCATCCGGCGTATCAGTCCTGCCCTGACGATGTCCGTTCTGAATCCCCTATACACTACTGCATGCAGCCCAATCCCGTCTGACCCACATACTTACCCTTTCGTGAGTTACATTTATTTATGCCCTGGCGATGTCTGTTTGGAATCCGTTATACACTTCCACACGCAAACCAACCCTGTCGGCATTCTTCTCCTTTCATGAGCAACAATTTTTCTCCTTAAAACTTAACCCAATCTCATTAATTTTGTTTATTCGATAATGGAGTTTTTCTCTGCCCTCTAATCATTTTTCTTATCAGACTGCTTGTTCAAAAAGCATGAGTTGAATACTGAACAGACTCTGTCTACCTGTTCTAAAATTCATATGAAAAGTTATTTTTGCTAATAATAATAATAATAATAATAATAACTGTATTTAATGCTAGTTTACATGCATTGTCAGGGAAGCGTTAAACACAAATCCGACCAGCAGTGAAAAAACTCCCGTTAAAACGGAATAAAAATGAAGTTTATGGTGGTTTTTATAATTTAAAGGGTTCAGGAGAAAAAAAATCTGCTGCCCTTGAAATGACGATAGTCGGGAAATAGATGGGTAGAACTACCTCGGGTACTTTTAGTCGCCATTTCTTTTCGGGAAGTTGGGACTGGACCAAACAGAAGCGCCGAAGAACAGCTGCCGCTGTTGGCTAAAGAAATTTTCCCTGGTGAGACTGGCCATAGATTTCAGAGACCACAAACGGCATCGCTACGGTAAAGTCGATCAGTGGATTCAGCAAATAAAATTTGTGGAGTCTTTCTGAATACAAAACAACTATTAATAGTTCTCTTAAACAAGGGATAATTTTGCAGAATTTTTAAATTTCTTGGTTATCTATTCCAAATAGCAATTGTGTTAACAGAGAACGGCCAACGATAATTAACGGTACTTTCCAGAGGAAGAAATAAAAAGATCTCACGGTAGCTGTTACGTCGGTGGTGGACAAAATGTTTAAAAGTAGTGGGCGGGTTAAAGGTGCGATTATATAAAAGTTTAAATAGTAAAAATAGTCTCTTAAGTAATCTACGAAACCACAATGCATCAAGGCCTGCAAGTTGACAACGTTCTTAGTACGACAAATTCCGGTGCTCCGGGGCTAAAGCTCCTTTTGTAAAAAGGTGTTGGACGGATTCTATCTCCTTCCGCTCAGCAGCACGCATGAGGCTAAATAAAAACGAACAGTATTTCAGGCAAGGTCGAACGTATATGTTATAAATGAGCATTCTAATATTGATAGTTTTAAAGGTTCGGAGGATAAACCCGGTCTTTCTACGTGCTCTGGAGACCATCAGAGCGCAGTGCTTCAAAAGATTGAGGCTCTTGGTGTATGATACTCCCAGATCCTTAATAACCCCAGACACGCTTATGGCGTGACCGTCAATACGTAGTTGAGGTTGGCAGTCGTCGCCAACCACCATGACTGGGCATTTGTGCCAAGAAAGAGAAAGGCGCCCTGTGCGACACCACTGGGCAAAGGCGTATGGGTCGCTCTTTAGGAGGTCAGTCAGGATGTCACGATCGGCCGGCTTATACCTGTATGCAACATCGGCATACATGAAGAGCTTACCATTCTGAAATTAATCTAGTACATCATTAACATCAAGGCAAAATAAAAGCGGGTCGAGTACACTACCCTGAATGACTCTACTCCTCACACATGTGGGGTTGTAGAGAGTGTTGGGGATCTTAACTCGTTGTGTGCGAGCGCCCAGGTAAGAGAATAGCAAGTTCAGAAATTTGTCACCTATTTCAAAAGATGACAGTTTCAAGAGAAGAAGAAGAAGAAGAGCATGGTCAACATAATTAAAAGCCTTAGCGAAGTCAAAATGGACTGTGTGAAATGCACAACAATCCTCCCTAGATTGCAGAACATGGTCAAAGAAATAGAGCTGACAGGTGTCACAAGACCGAGCGCTCAACAGGTTATTCTCTGTTAAGTGACATATCATCTTTGACCAATGTTTCTAAGACCTTTGAACCTGTGTGGAGAGTGTATATGGGCCAAAAGTCATCAAATGACGTAGATTGGCCATGCTTGGGAATGGGCAAAATGTGTGATTCCATCCACAAAGTAGCATACTTTCCATTTTCAAGTGCGAGATTAAATGTCTTGCATAAAAGGGATGGGAAAATCGTATTTTCATCGGCTTTTGAAGTGCTTACTGGGACGCAATCAGGTCCAGGGCTATGAGCTTGACGAAAACGCCGAATCGCTACAGTCACATCCCACAGAGTGAAAGTTATAGTTTCTAGAAACTGCCCCGGTCAATGGCTGGATGGTCGGAAGCGGAGTGGTCGAGTCTTCAATGAACGTTTTTGACAGGAAATCATTGAAGCTATCAGCGCTTAACTGGGCATCAACTATGGGATTTCCGAGAGCGTCTCGGAGGATGGGATGCTGCGTCTTTCTATGAGTTCTTATTTTTCTGGAGAAAAGTTTCGAGTCATTTAACGAATGGTTTTCGGTAAACTGGACCTCTTCGGCTAGCTGTTTCTCTTCCGACAATCTCTTAGCTCGATCAAAAATATCATCAATCAAGGGCAGAACGGAAACGTCGTTCTGAAGCCGGAATCGACGAAGAAGTCTGCGCAACTTGAGGCGAAAGGGTAAGGATAGGAAAACCTCATCCCCAACATTTATAATTTTCTTACGGAGGATAGACGAGAAATGAGCGGATCCAAAATTTTGTACAGTTTTGCAGTGCAAACATTGACATCCGAACTAAGGAAGAAATCAGTCCAGTCGTAGTAATAAAGTTGTGCTAGTAATTAGGTCGAACGAGTTGATCGGAAATCGCGGAAAAAGCCATAATTTGGGGATATCGTCTTGTCAGCCTCGAGTTCCAACGTTGGAACAACTATGTCATGGTCTGAGCCCCCAAGTCAGCCTTGGGATGACACTGACAAAGACATGCAGACTCTATAGAAAATTAAGTCAATTATGCTTGATCCTCGGGTGGGAAAATCGCCGAACCGACTCCAAATCCCAATGTCCACAGCCTCAAGAACGTTTTCGAACATTCTGGGGCCTGAAAGCGGAGACCAGAGGACTTCAAGAAGATTGAGGTCACCGGCAACCAATTGATACTTAAAGCTTAAGTCGGCCGCAACATGAAATGCCAGTGAGAGTAAACGATCAAAATTGTCTTTGGCGTTGGGAGGGCGATAGACACAGCCAACGAGTAAGGAGAACTCATTTTTTAGTGCAACCTGGAGCCAGCGCTTGCCTTCTACTGCGGAAAAATACGGGACTTCTAGCGGCAGAAATTTAAGTGTTTGCTTAACGTAGACGCCACTGCCCCTATCACGGCTGTCTTGCCTATCATTTCGAATGCAATTATGGCCTAGAAGCTAGAGTTCGGCGTCAGCTACGGAAGCTGGTGCCCATGTCTCAGTTATTAAATCAATATCTTGGCAATGGATGAACACCAGAGTCTGAAGCAAAGGCATCTTATTTATAAGGGATGTTGCATTTAGAACAAAGAGTTTGAGGGGAAGGGCTGTGTGTTTCTGAGGGAGGTGGGCTACGTCGTCCAGTGCTTGGCTGCCCGCGGAACACACGGTCCGGATGCACCCATCCGGTTCTGCAAAAATGTTTTTGGCATGAAAAGATTCTGACGTGGATAAAAAGTGGTAGGACTTGGGGGAGGAAATGACGGGCAGGGAAGCTGGTAAGCATTGTTAGCTAACTCAGTTTAGGGTGCAAATCCATAGCGGGACTGCCAGCGTATTCGGCTTGACCGCTGTGATATGAGTTTTGGGGGTAGTTGGATACACGCTGTAATTGGGGTCGTGGTGCTTGAAGCAGTGGCACACCAGCTTGCCTCTATATAATCCATGCTAAAAATCAGAAAGCAAATGGCTTTGTTCTGGGAACTGCATTAATTTTTTTCAAGTATTTTCTCTAAAATTCTGCAGCAAACGAGTATGAGGCGGATTGTTCAGTGATTGCTTGCGGAGACTCGACTTCCATCCTTACGTAGAGAAATAATCTACGCAGATTTCCAGACAGCTGGTAGCTATTCGACCTTAGTGGATGTAAGGAAAAGCTTAGAGGGTGATTTTGCCAACTCCTCTGCGAGTTCCTTTAAAGCCTTCTCCGGTACTCTAACGGGACCCGGTTCCATTAACTCCAGCAGCTTCTTTAGAATAATCGTTTCGGTGCACTGAATGGTCTCGATTATTGTGGCTTCTAAGAAATCACTCTCATGAGATTTGAATCCAACTCTCCTAGCGAGGAGAGACTTAAGAAATTCTGAAGCCTGATTAGCTTTAGTATCTTCAGTGAGGTTTTCGCCCTCAGCAGTCCATAGCAGGGCGGTTGGATCCTTGTTTCGCATGCTCTGTCTAGTGTAACTGTATACTAATTTCGGGTTCTCCAGGACACCGATAAGCAGGTTAAGTTCGGCCTCCCGCATTTTGCTCAGAATAGGACCTTTGACTCAATTTCTCTGAATTTTTTGTGCACTTCATTATGTGGTGTTCCTGTCGGTAAATGATTTTTCCACAGCCTCCACCTTTTATTCATCTACATTTTGAAGGCCCGCCTAAACCATCCAGGTCAGCTTCACAACCTCTTTCGTAAAATTGGACAACGGCTTGAGATGAACCTTGGAGCACCTCTAGGAAGTTTTATCAGTCCTCAAATATGCTTACAGCAAATACAGATTCTCACTCCATGCCTACTCTCTCAACCGTCGTTTGGTCTAAATCACTGTGTCAGATGATTCTGCTGACTCTTATGGGTCTCTCGGGCATTAAAAAAGAGCGAGAAATTCCGTAACAGGACGATGTGGACACGTTTACCTAGAAGGGGAGGGGAGGCATGGCATCTCATAAGTACTGTCCTGTGAGTCCGTAAAGACCAGAACAAGGCAGATGGCCCGTTAACCTGCGCGTACTCTAGTTGAAAAAGCGACGTGATGAGTGAGAAATAACTTGAGCGTCATGTTCAGAAGGAAACCATTAAAGGCCGTTTCAGAACCGCCCCCTATTACCAGTGGCGTACTTCAAGGCACTATCCTAGGTCCCCTTCTATTTCTCATATATATTCGCCACTTATCATCCACATCAGTATCAGCTAATACGTATATACATGCGGACGACCTAAAAGTTGCATTTGCATATAACGGGAATACAGTAGCCAATGATATTACCGACAAAGACAAGGGAGAATAGAATGGCCATTTCTGGCTTATTAGCCGTTGTCAGCCAGTCATACCCAACCCCGGAAGTGTGGCACACCCGAGGCTCAAACTCGCGACCTGTTTGTTAGAAGTCCATGCCTCTAACCACTGAGTCACGAGCCCGTTACCCTGTCGGTTTTCGATCGAGAATATACAATGGTAGGGGGCGCTCACCGATGGTTCTGACGGAACTCACTCGTTCCGTTGTGCCTTATGGACAGGGCAACGGGCTCGTGGCTCAGTGCTTAGAGGCGTGGACTTCTAACAAACAGGTCGCGAGTTCAAGCCTCATGTGTGCCACACTCCGGGGTTGGGTATGACTGGCTGACGACAACCAGTAAGCCAGAAATGACCATTACAGTCTCCCTTGTCTTTGTCGCAATATCATTCTGCCTACATCATGCGCCGCTGTGCGGCTGCTGGTTGGGCTCTAAAGAGAGTCCATAAGGCACAACGGAACGAGTGAGTTCCGTAAGAACCATCGGTGGGCGCCCCCTACCACAGTAGCCAATATTCACAGAAAAATTGAAACCGATCTCAGAAAACTCAACAAATGAAATAGTCAATGGTAGATGTCCTTTTCGCCCGAAAAATGCCAGCTCCTGATCTTTGGCCCACAAAAACATCCTATCCCCCGCCTTCAGCCCCATATTGTTCGAGGATAGTGAGATGACGGAATTCCAGTCGAAGCAACTCGATGCATTTGCCTGCCACTGAAATGGCTGTAGCAACCCCAGTTGTCGTTTCGTGTCCTCCGGATAGCCCCGCTGGGCACATAAAAATCCGTCTACATCAGCTAGACTGACAACTTCCCTTGTTCAACTGGGTGCTGCAAGCTCTACAGTTAAGTCACCAATGGCTTGGCGTCGGAACGGTGAGACTCCAAAACTGAATCAGACTCCGACCCAAAATAAAGTTAGTACAGTTCCATTTAGGGGTTCGCCGCCTCCTCTTAGATCTACCAAACCCTTACAGCCCAGCTCGTCTACAAACCCGCAGCTCCAATTATAACCCCAAATAATTATCTGTCCTGCGTACCGGACACTTACCAAAACCCTACTTTATATCCAGTAAATAATTCACACGTGAATTGCCCAAGTCATTTATCCTTCAACCTAGTTCAGGCTTCCCACCACTTAAGGCCAATTGCTCTCAGGTAAGTCAACCTGACTCCTTTGACTTCCAACCTAGACATGGTTTCCCACCCCTTTTACTCTTATCGCTGCATACCCCCACCCCATCAGCCTCTACCTTCATTCTAGGCTCCCTCCCTCTTTCCCCTCCTCTACAGTTTAACCACCAACAAGCCTATACTTGTCCTAACTCCCCTTGCATTCCAATGCCCGAAAACTATATTCCCACACCGTTTAGGTCTTATGCCCAGCCTTCTCTTGCTGGCTCCCCGTACGTCAATAACCCTAGAGTAACTGGTACTTATTCTCCAAGCATCATTAATTCACAGCTGCCATATCCGCCTCCAATTTTTTTAAATACCGTCGACAATGGCATAGCTGTTCGAAACACATTAAGAGACTGTCTGAAGAAAAACAGCTAGCCGAAGAGGTCCAGTTTACCGGAAACCATTCCTTAAATATCTCGAAACGTTTGTTTAGAAAAATACGAACTCACCGAAAGACGCAGTATCCCATTATTCGAGACAATCTCGGAAATCCCATAGTTGATGCCCAGTTAACCTCTGATAGCTTCAATGGTTTCCTGTCCAAAACGTTCATTGGAGACTCGACCACTCCGCTTCCGACCATCCAGCCATTGACCGGGGCAGTTAAAGGAACTGTAACTTTCACTCTGTGGAATGCGACTGTAGCGATTCGGCGTTTTCGTCAATCTCATAGCCCTGGACCTGATTGTGTCCCAGTAAGCATTTTAAAAGCCAATGCAAATACGATTTTCCCATTCCCCTTATGCAAGATATTTAATCTTGCTCTTGAAAGTGAAGCTTGTCCTACATTTTGGAAGGAATCACACATTTTGCCCATCCCTAAGCACGGCATATCTACATCATTTGATGACTTTCGGCCAATTAACACCCTCCCCGCAGTTTCGAAGATCTTAGAGACATTGATCAATGGAAAGTTGATGTGTCCCATAACAGTGAATAATTTACTGAGTGCTGCTCAGCATGGATTTCTCAAAGCTTGATTTTGTGACACCTGTCAACTCTCTTTCTTTGACTATGTTCTCCACTCTAGGGGAAATGGTTTTGCACTTTACACAGTATATTTCGATGTCACTAAGGCTTTTGATCGTGTTGACCATGCTCTTCTTCTCTTGAAACTGTCCTCTTTCGGAATAGGTGGCAAACTTTTGAATTTTATATCCTCCTACCTGGGCACTCGTACACAACCAGCTAAGATTTCCAATACTATCTCCAACTCCACACGTGTGAGGAGTGGAGTCATTCAGGGAAGTGTAATCGGCCCACTTCTATTTCGCCTTTTCGTTAATGATGTACCCGAATGGTAAGTCTATCATGTATGCCAATGATCTTAAAGTTGCATATCGATATAAGCCGGCAGGTCATGACATCGTGCTCGAGCTCCTTAAGAGCGATCTACAGGCTTTCGCCCAGTGGTGCCGCACATGGCGCCTTTCTCTCTCTTGGCATAAGTGCTCAGTCATGGTGGTTGGCAACGACCACCAACCACAACTAAGTATTGTAGGTCACGCCATAAATGTGCCCAGGGTGATAAAGGATCTGGACATATCATACTCCAAGAGTCTCAATCCCTCGGAGCACTGTGCCTTGATAGTCTCCAAAGCACGCAGAACGACCGGGTTTATCCTCCGAAACTTTAAAACTAGGGACATCAGAATGCGTCTTTACAACATGTACGTTAGACCTGGTCTGGAATACGGTTCGTTTTTTTAGCTTCATGCTTGCTACTGAGCGGAGGAAAATAGAATCCGTTCAACACTTTTTTACCAAGAGAATTTTAACCCCGGAACACCGGCATTTGTCTTACCAAGAACGTTGCCGGCCTACGGGCCTTGATCCTTTATGGTTCCGTAAATTACAAAAGGGACTATTTTGCTATTTAAACTCTTACATAATTACACGTTTAATCCACTCACCTCTTTAAGACATCATATCCACCCACGACGTAACAGTCACCGTGAGGTCTTCTTATTTCTGCCTCTGGCACGTACTGTTAAATATCGCCGGTTCTTTTCTGTAAATGCAATTGCTATTTGGAATAAACTACCCATGAGTGTAAAAACTCTGCAAAATTATCCTTTATTTAAGAGAACTATTACTCGATTTTTGCATTCAGAAAAGCTTCCTCAAATTTTGGGTTCTGAATCACTGATCGACTCTACCGTAGCGATGGTGTTTGTGGTATCTGAACACTATGGCCGGTCTCGCCAGCTGTTCCTCAACGCCTCTTCTTTGACTATCCCCAACTTTATGAAAAGAATTGACGTCTGATAATCTCCAATACCGTGCTACCCCCTCCCGCCCACTTCTTGACGGTCGAAAATCTACACCCAGCAGTTTTTTACTCCTGAACCCTCCAAACCATGAAAACCACCATCAACTATATTTTTATTACTTTACCTCAGGAGTTTTTTTCACTGCTGGTCGGATTTGTGTTCAATCGCTTCCTTTGACAGTGCATGTAAACTGGCATTAAATAAATTATTATTAGATATTATATTATTGAATGCCAGGTCTGTTAGAAACAAGATGGCCCAAATCAAAGTCATTGCTCTCAAAATGACGCCTGATATTATATGTGTAACAGAATCTTGGACCCATTCTCTAATTCCTGTCTCTGTCCTTCTTATAGATGACTTCAGTTTTTACCGTCATGACCGCATGACTACGCGTGGAGGCGGTTGTCATCTTTATAGTAAATCCTACCTTAAGCACTCTCCCTAATACTTGGATTTTTCCTCATTCACGGTAAACTTCTGCTTTGCATCTCTTATTCTTTCGCAGCAAAAAAGGCAATTATTTGTTGTATCTACAATCCCCCGAATTCTTCAGCCAGTGGTGATTCACAACTCTGTGAACTATTTGAGTTAGTTTCGTAAGCTGCTTTCGATGTTAAAATAATCACTGGACATTTTGACCTTCCTGGAATAGACTGGGTTTCCAATATCTGTCTACCTAGATGCCAGTCCTTTCAAGATATTGTCAATCTTCCTAACTGGTCCAAATTGGTGCGCTCTCCAACAAGAGATATTCACATTTTAGATATAATCTTTAC